CCCGAGCTGCTGGGGCAGCACAAGGCGTCAGCTGCCGTTCCCAAGTCGGCTCTCACTGCTCAGGGCTCTAAACTTCAATTTTAATCAGTTTAATCAGCTGGTTATTGGAATGTTTTATGTTGCTGGAGCAAATAAAACATGTCATTGAGTTCACCCCAAACACTCACTGCCCACCTTCTCCTGCACCTGACAGTGGGGGCCCAATCCTGCCTGGCTGGGAGGATGATGGTCCTCCTTTTTGGAGCAGGGTTAATTTTCCCCTGATAGTTGTATTTTGTCCCATTCCCATTTAGAGCCAAAAAGCTCTAAAATTATGAGGATAGATGACAATTTTCAAAGTCAGCACAACTGTTTCTGGTCTAGGGACACAGAGAGCAGGAAACAGCCCCTCTCTGTCAGGACCCAACCATGGATGGTCACGGAATCACAGTCATGGAATGGCCTGGCTTGGGAGGCACCTAAAAGATCCTCTTGTTCCACCCCTTGCCATGGGCAGGGACACCTCCCACCAGCCCAGGTTGCTCCAAGCCCCAACCTCCAAGTGTCCAACCTGGCCTTGGACACTTGCAGGGATCCAGGGGCATCCACAGCTTCTCTGGGCAACCTGTGCCAGTTTATTGCCTATAAAGCAATTTATCTCTAAACCAGGACTACCCAAATTACAGGGTACAAACCACAGAGTAGCTCAGGCTGGAGGCACCGGGGTGGGGTGGGGTTTCTGCTCCAACCCTGCCGCAGATGCAGGAGGCTGTGTGGGGCTGTGTCCAGGAGAGCTGGGGCAGTGTCCAAGGATGGGGAACCCCACCACCCGGGGGCCCATCCCAGCTACATACCTCCTCTCCACTCCTTCCAGTTTGGGAATGCCTCCCTTCAGCTGGGAGTCCCAGGCAAGGTGCAGGATCCAAAACTGGAGTGCCACATCTGGGATGAGTCCCCTCCCCAGACCTGCTGGCTGATGCCACCCAGGATGGAGCAGATCTTCCTCACTGCAAAGACACACAGTTGTTTGATTCATGGCCCATCCACCTCCCCCCCCAGAACCCCCAACTCCCTTTGAACCAACACTTAGGATTTCACCCACCAAAGAAATGACGTGAAAGTTTGGATCTGATCCCAGCTCTCACACCCCCACTGGAAGGGTGGTTTTTTTTTCCCAGTTTGGGAATTCATACTCAATAGCTCTTGCAAGTGCTTCAAACAGCTTGGGAAGCCATGGAAAACCCAGGAATCCGGCTCACAGGCATTACATTTACCGTGCTCTCCAGCACGATGGTTATTCCGATGGAGTGGCAGCAGCACACGCCAAACTGCACATGAGGAATGCATTAGTCAGTACTACTGAGTTGTTTGGAGTGTCTCAAGGATGGATTTTTTAAAAAAAATAAAAATCTATCCGGCTTCCTGCCACAGGAGTCCGCAAAAGCCACAGAAAAATCAATTTGTCTGGGTTTGTGCAGGGCTTCCGCAGCGTGGAAACCAAATGGGCTCTTTATTGAATCCAGTCCCCACTTACTGCCTCATTAGAATCTCTCCTTTTCTTTCACCCACCATTATTTATTTGTCTTGGAAACACAACAAATTGACAAGCATTGAAGTCTCTGCTTGCAACACACGCACTGGTCCTTGATCAGGGCTTGCTGAAGGCCAGCTCAGCTCGGGCCATGCCCGGGTAGCAGCTCATTCCTCTTGTGATGGTGGCAGATATGCCTTAAAACACTCAATCCCTGGTCAAAACATTGCACCTCGCTTTGCTCATGCAGAGAAAATACTCTGAACAGCCACGTCACTCAAATTAAGGTGAATTTCTCATGTTTTCCCCCAAAATAACGCTCCTGATGAGGCAACGTGTGCTCGGCGTTGCCCAATATCACCGTTCCCCCCCGAGCAGGAGGAGCTCAGCTCTAACTGACCTTGAGTTGATCCCATTGCCCAGCTGGTCAGACAGAGATTTTGGAGCCAGCAGATCCAATGGATATCCCCC